GCACTGTTAGCCTGGTATTTCTTAACCCATGATAAGATGTATTATTGCAAATAATACTTTGTTCTCACACTGTATTTCATTCATAGATCTCAAATTTTAATTGTGGATGTGACAACTCCTTTGTGTTGTACTTGTTCTCTAAAACATAGTTTTAAATAATTCTGCTCCCTCCTGTGACAGTTCTCAGCCCACTAAAGAATTGCCTGAAGATGGTGAAAGCTTCAAAATAGCCATTCATTTTTAATAGCATTCACCATGGCTTAGTTTGTATAGCAGCAGTGGATGTAAATATGGTATGGAATGTGTCAGATCAAATATGCAATATGACTGGTAAAATCTGGAAGATATTTATGGTTTATGAATAACTTTTCCTCATGTAAAAAGGCACATTACTTCTGTACCATTGACAGTGGCAGACTGCAGAACTGTACTGTTCTTGGAGATTCCTTACAGTGAAAGCCAACTCGTCTCACTGACTCACTAATGATTATTTAACTAATTTACTAAACATCTTCCATGTCAACCTCCTTTTAACAAAGAACCTTGTGATCCTGAGATGTTGCTTACAAGGGTTTATAAGATATTTTTTTCTCCATGGTCTTTCTGATACTGTTTTAGCAGCAAAATTCTTCCATGATAGCAGCCTGGTGCTGAGCCCTTTTTATGCCCTTGGTGTTAAACTGACCAAGCTTAGCTTTGGGATCAGAAGGGAGTTTTCCTGCAGGGCAAATAGGAAGCGGTAGTTGTTGGTTGAAGTTCTTCTTCCTTGTGTTGCTTCTAAGAATTTTCATTGCTTTTGAAGTGAATGAGATAGTGGCAATGACTTCTGCCCCTCTCCTGCTCTTTTCTTTTGCTATGTTGAAGTTGTGGATCTGCATTTGTTACCACTCACATGAGGTGTTCTCCTGATGCACCTGTATGTTATACAGAGAGGTCCCAAAATTTCTGACTATAACCATTGCCTCGTCCAACGAGTATCATACCTTGGAAGCTCTTAAAAAAACTGAGGACACCCCCTTTTGCTCTTCTTTTGTTGTCCTTCTCACAGGTTATTAGATATGCCTCCTGGTATGATGCTATTCTGAAGGATCCCCTCTCTGTCCTAGTTTGGCTCATCATTTAGGTACTGGAAGTTAGAGGTAATTTTCCCTAGAACTTCTATAGTCTGTGAAGGGTGATGCACACCAGGAACTATTGCAGGGACGCCAGGTTGCTTTCTGCGGAGGGTTATTTTCTCTTCTGACTATCCAGGCAGCCCTCTGAGATCTCCTAGTCATCTTACAGCCCGTGAAGTTACTAGGTACAAATGCCTCACTCCTTCATTATCTGTTTCCCAGTGTTTAATGACTGATTTTGCAGTACTCTTTTAATGCTGCTGACTTCACATGCAGAACCAGAGAACAACTGTTATTTAGTAGGTTACTTTTATGACTGGGAAACCAAAAAGTTTATTGTAAGTCAGTGCATTAACGTGTATTTTTAGAATATGAAATAAAAAATAGCTGTTTCTAATAGAAACTGTGGGCACTAACATAGAAATGAAGAATGACACAGGCCACAGGAAAGGTATTGTTTTCAGCATGTGTAGGTGTACTAGCAGATGTTTTTCCCGTGTCTCAAGCTGCACTAGCTTGCAGCATTACCAGGATGCAATTAGCTGCCTTTTTAATGTGGCTTTTTCTTTTCCTGTTAATGCACTATCCACCTGTAGCTATTCAACATTTAATTTCTAAGTCAAGTATTGGAGTCTATTTTGTTTGTTTGGGTGTTGTTTCGTATGTGTGTGTGTGTTTTAATGAGGTTTCTTTTGTCAGGTCGCCACAGGGGTGGTTAGAACCTCATCTCAAAATTTACCCAGTGGAAACTAACAGTTTGGTAGTCTTCTAGCAGCTGTTGCACATACAGTCTGCATTTCTGTCTGTCCATATCCTAGCAGGTAATTGTTTCTGTCAAGATGCATCACCCTGGGTAGTGACAGATATATTTGCTGGCAGTTTCAGCAGAGAGGTCAGTGATAGAGCAGGTATGGAGCAGGGGCTGTTCAAAGGGGTGTACTGGTAGAAGTCAAGCTTTGCTGAGAAGGGAGCCTGGGGTGTCTACTACCAGACAGAGTGCTTCCTCATTATATGGACAGAGCACTTCAGTCTCCAGTTTTGTCAAGCTGTCATCTTTCATTAACAATAAATCTGCTTGCTAAATAAATGAAAAAGGTAATAAAACATTTTTATTAGTCATGACAAATGCTTGTCTTATGAGAAGTTGATAAAATAATGACTAGATTTAAATATTTATTAAATCAACTTATTTTTTGAGCCATCCTTAAGACCTGAAGGTATTTTAGGATATGATAAAATTCATGTTATGTGTTGCACCAGTGGTGCAGTGCTGATCAGAAGAAATAAAACCATTCTCACTTTAATGTTTTTAATTTTAAGCTAGCCTGGCATTGCATGTTAACAGCATTTTTGTCCTATTTCTCAGTCTGCTCTCTCTTGTCAATGCCATCTGCTTGCTTATTTTACTACCTCTTTAACAACCAGGTGATTTTTGCCACCTCCACCCTCCTTGTCAATATGCCCAGCAGTCCCATTTGGGTTTATGGGGTTAGTGTGCTAAGCAATATTCATATGTTTATGTAAATGTGTTCTCTATTCTAAAGAACCTTTCTGCATTTCTAGTTCAATATCTTCTAAGTCTTCCAGCATCCTGGCTTACAGCATTGAATTATTTTACTATAGTCTAATCTGCTTGTTATGCCAGCTGGTTTTGTTGATCTGTAATGTATTCATTTATGCAAAAAGTTTTACTCTAGCAAAGCACCTAAGTGTGCAGGTAGATTTGGTGAAAGAATGTGATTATCTCAAAGCTAAGTACCTGCCTTAGTGCTTTGCTGGATTGGAGGCTTAGGAAAGAGAGGATAAGATTGGTCTAATAATGTTGAATGTGGTTTAGAGCTGCTTTATCGTAATAGCCTTATCATCAGACCAACTTCTGGTTATGGATACTCAATATGGAAGATTTCTTGCAGCTTGCCAGGCTTTTCTTGTTACTTCATAGTTTTCTAGATGTCTCTTCAGGCTTTTCTGAACTATAATCTTAAGCATGGTTTGCACAAGAAAAGGTATCTCCATCTTTTAGGAAGTAACCTCTGAGAAGCCATGTCTTAAAATACAGGATGTAGAAGGCAATGAAAAGCTGATGTTGCCAGTTCATTTGATTTTCATATGTGTTAGGAGAGCAAATTATTTAATACAATTCCAGACTGCAGTAGCCTGCAGAATAAATGTGGCAGTGAGACCAGATCAAAAAAGGAGGAAAAAAATAAAATAAAATGAATGGCACAAGGGTTAAATTCTACTCTGCTAGTAATTTGGGCTAAGCCAGTATTAGAACTATGGAGGTGGGGAGGGGAGAAATAAAAGACTTAAACCACTGAAAATGAAATCTGAAGAAAAGATGTACATGTATTTTTCCAGTTCTAGCTCTTATCTGCTGGTGTTTGTCTTTTTCCATTCCTCAGATCTGTGTGTTCATACTCCCATAGGTACCAGGGGGATTTTCAGGATTTAGTTTAATTCATGGTCACTGTAAAACATTACGAGAATTGCGGCTACTGCTTTCCCAAGTCAGAATTTAACTGGGCTATGTTTTTGCTTTCCCTGCTGCTGCATAGCCAGGGCATGAGGCATTGCTGAGACCAGAAAGCAATGCACAACACCAGGTGTTTTCAAAGAAAGGGACATTTGTTGAGTTGTCTGCACACCCTTCCTCTCCTGCAGTGGTTAGCTCAGAGGTGCTGTCGTTTCTGAAGCTGTAACAAGCTCCTTGTGGAACTCACACTGTGCAGTTTCCTGCATGTTATTTTTCAGAGCCAGGCTATACTATAGTTCTCTTTTCCCGTTGTTTCTCCCTGTGTGAGCTTTTGGTATCTTTATCAAGGATGGCACTTCAGCAAATGCTTAACTTGATTGCACTGCCTAGACTTGAAGATAGAAAAGGGATTAGGTGCTCTTGAAACATATGAACTAAGGCAGATGTTTAGTGCTTTCTAAGATGCAAACCAAATAAGTGCTTTCTCAGAAAGATTATTCATAATTGGTTTTGACTATATATATATCATGACAGGGAGAAGGAGGAAATAGCTGCGTAGCAGTAGATTTGTGACAGCTTCTCATGTTTATGGTTACTTGTCACCATGATAATTTTCAGCTGAATGCAGCCTATAGATAGGGCATTGCCAGCTTGTGCCTTCCTTCCTTTTAATGGGCACAGGGCAGATAGTAGTGAGTGGTGAGCAGCTCCCAGCTCTGTGTAGAGCTCTGTCCTGCCTTGCTGAGAGCCTTTGCTCACTTTGCCTTTCTTTGTCTGTTTTTCCTTCTGTGTTTGTTTAAATTGCAAAGGCTACAAAGGTGAGGGCTGGCTCCCGCTCTGTGTTTGACCCTGCCTGCCAAACCTGGGGCACCTGCTGCCCACTGGCATATCAAAATGTTTTTGTAATACTAATAAGTATTAAGAAATTTCTCATTTGCCACTTAATCGTCTGCAGCTTGGGACTTTCACTGTGTTTGAGGGTAACTGACCACTCCACCATCAATACAAAAAGTCTCAGAGGTCTGAGGATACTTTCAGGCTCTCGGTGTTTGTCATTGATATCTTCAGTGATGGCTCAGGTGCCTGGGATTTAGGTCCACCCTATGGACACTGTTAAAAGGTCCCTGAAGTGTCTCAAGGGGAAAATTGAGATAGAAGCATGCAGTTCCAGAGCAGAGTTGGCAATGCTGGTCTGATATCCATACATCTTTAATGCAACAGGGACAGTCTTCTGCCTTTCTAATATGTGTGTCAGTGCAGATTTTGCATTGATTTTGGTAGTGTAGGAGAATGCAAGTGGACTGAGGTATTGGTCCTAACTTGCACATACTGTGAGCTATGTTCTCAGCTGTGAGGCTATATGCATAATACTTTCTGCCTGACATTAGTTTTCTATTTGTCTTTTGCAGCACTTTTACAGGCAGTCATAGCTGGTGATCTACTGAAGGTAAGTACAGAGCACTGAGTGTCCCCTTTTTCACAGCTTTTTGCAGGTCTGATATACTGTAAATTTTATCACACCTCTGCTCAAAACATAAATAGACTGCTGTAAGGACTGCTGGCAAGTGCCATTTTACAGCCTTTCCAGGAAACCCTGAATATTAGGGGAACACATCAGTCAGGTGAGGTGTGAAATACAAGTGAATAGGATCGGGTGTTAGACAGCACTTTTCAGCCCAGGATTCATAGTGCACTGCACAGAGCAATGTGTCAGTTACTAACAGGGAAATTACTATATTGGCAAATGCAGTGCTGAACAGCAGGGTAGTTCTGACACAGCCTTACACAGTCAAGGATATTTTATGGCATTGAGGTTGCTGGCCAAGCCCTAGAGTTGCTGGAGGTTTCTTAACTTATACCAAGACAATTGCTAGACCAGGTAAAGCAAGCCTCAGCTTGCTGGTTTATCACCTGACTGATGTCTCAAAATATGTAGTGTCTCAGTATTGTCTGCTATGGGGAGGAAAAAGGTACCCGTGCAAAACCATTTTGTGCCCCAAATCTGAAGTTCCATTTCTGCCAGTTATTCAGGCTGTATTTTTCAGTAGCCAAGTCAGGATTTGAAAACACGCCCTTGAATTTGGATGGGGACTGTGATTAACGATTGCAATTTTATCTGTGAGAAGCAAGCTTGGAGCCATTTGTAAAACTGACAGTACTGTTAGGCCAACCCTTTGCCTGCAGGTGCCCCTTCTGTACCTCTGACGCTGCACTTGTGTCTGCAGCATCTATGGAGCAGTCCTTCAACCAGAAGTCATAAAAATATTGTCCCCTTTCTGCTGCTTGAAAACTTTTTGCCCAAGTTTGCTTTGACAGGGAAACTTCTTGCTTTTCTTCAGATGTACTACGTTGTAAATTATGTCTCCTCTGTTGCAATCCTCTCCCTCTTCTCTGCAGTGATCTGCTCTGCATTTTCCTTCCTCCCCTGATTTTGCAGTGTTTGTGAGACCTGGCATGTTGCTGTTTCCTGCCTGTTCTCACCCAGCGCAGTGCTTCCCCCTCTGCCAGCCCTAGCTAGGGGGCAGAAAATGAGAAGAGCCATGTGGGGCACCTGAACCCCACCTCCCTGCAGATTTTTGAGTCCTGGTTTAGTCAGAAAGTGTTTGTCTTCTGTGCTGAGGAAAAATTGGAATTTTCAGTAGAGAAGCCAGAATTTTCTATCAAATATGTATAGTCTAAAATATCTCAACAGCATCACCAGAAGTGGTTTGCAGACATTGCTAGCAAACAATAATTCATTGCCCGTAGAGTCAAAATGTCTCATTGTTTAGAAAGTACAAAGTTCTTTTCTTAGCACATATAGTTTCAATACTTCTAGTTTCAGAAATTTTTTCACTGGGACCTAAAAGCTGGCTTTTTAATATTTTATTTCTTTTTATTCCAGTTTTGTACTGACCTGCTATGACAATTAGTAAATAATTTGTCTGCAATAATTTGTTTTTCTGGTCCTCACATATTATCCTTCTGTTTGTCTTTTGTTTCCAGTTCATAGAATGCTGTAAAAAAGGAGCCAATTTGTTAATCCAAGGACCCGATCGCTGCTCCTTGTTGCACCATGCTGCCAAAACAGGGCATGGTGAGATTGTGAAATACATCCTGGAACATGGTGAGTCACAGTGGGCAAATCCACAGAGTACTGTACTTTGGCCAAGTGTCAGTCAGGTAAAACTTCAGTGTGGCTGGAAGTGCCCTCAGTCATCTGTGGTCACCCTCAGCAAGATGTCCACCTGCAGCATGTGTGAGCAGGAGGCTAGGAATGTGGGTGGCATCAGTGGCAGTGATGACTCCAGATAAAGGGAAAGTCTGGAAATGAAAATAAAGATGGCTTTTGAATAGGGTGGGTATTTTCACAGTTGCATTAGTTGAGGGGCTGTAAAGAAACAGTGTGATGCTTCAGTTAGAACCTCTAGCATATGAAACCTCTTTATGAATTTGCTCTTCAATTAGAGCATATAATTTAGAAAGTACCTAATCTTCATTAATACATTTACATCAATGGAAAGCGCATCCAGCCATTAGTATGTTATTTCAGTATTTAGTAACATGCTGGTTAGGAATCTGTGCATTTATTTGTAGACTAGGTTCACCTAGCTTTGCTTCCAACCCTTCATTATTCTGTCTCTGTTATATTCGATAACAAAGTTATCTCTGTTAGATTTGATAACAAAGATTCTTTATCTCCATTCCATATTTATATGTATACTTATATTTATACTTGAATGTATTTATATTTTTATATTTAGACTGTGATCATGTTGTTTCCCTTTTTTTCTTTTGATTCTTTTTGCCTTTTTCAGTAACAGTATTGCAGGCATTCTTACACAGGATATGCAGCAATTTCTGTGTATATACATTTGAGACAGCCACATTAGGAATTTCTGCCTGTTGAACTGCCTTAATCTTGTTCACTGATTGCTGCAGAGTAGCACAGTAATATTGTTGCTAAAGTCCCAGTCATCAGCCTGCTGCACTATAGGAAATATTTTCTAGTCTTTTAAACACTCTTGTAGCTTTTCTCTGATCCCTCTTCAAAATATCAGTGGCTATTTTGACTTCTAGATGTCAGAATCAGCTACGTTATTTCAGCAGCAGTGTTATTAGCACTAACCACAGAGACTGCCTTTGGCAACTGGAATAAGTGTTACCTAATGCTTGAAAGTTACTGCAGAAATTGTACAAGGAGAAGAAATGAGCACAATTCACATGAAAGGAAGAGACAATATCCATCTGTTAGTATTCGTGTTGATTGGAGTGGGATTCAGCTTGAGCTTGACTCCTAAATTTATTTGTCAAGCTAGATGTTTACATACAGGTGCCAGATAACCTGTGGGTCTAAGTTCCTGTACTGTCAGCAGAGATCTATGACTGAGTTCATTTGCACATGTATGACAGAAGTACTAGAGGAGACCTGCCCTTTTTCACTGCCAGATGGAAGTGAGGAGGGCATCTTTAATAGCAGCAGACTTCTATTATAACTAGCTCAAGGGAGATGTTAGTCAAGGTAGTTATTGAAGCCCAGCAACTGATTCAGCTGACAGTTACCTGTGCACTTTGTTCATTTACTTAAACATAACTATTTAATGTCATTTCCCTTGGATATCCAGGACATCTGCATAGGTCTACAAGGTAACATACAAGGCGTGTAGGAGACCCATGCTAGACTGGCATCTGAGGCCAAGCGAACATCCCTCTCATTCCAAATGCATCCCAAGGCTTGTCTGTAGGCATATCAAATAGCACAAAATGTCTGTGTGTGGGTGGCCTGGGTTCAGCTGCAAATGGTTATTTTTCTCCTTTTTAGCTTCCTTTTTAGCTTCCCTGCCTTTTCTAGCTGGTGCAGTGCTGTGTTTTTTACTTTAGCCTGAGAACAGTGCTGATAACACAGCAATGTTTTCAGTTGTTGTTAAGTAATGTTTACTCCGATCAAGGACTTTTCAGTCTCATGTTCTGCCAGTGAGGAGGGGCACGGGAAACTGGGAGGAAGCAGAGACAGGACACCTGACCCAAACTAGCCAAACGGGTATTCCATACCACAGCATATCATGCCCAGTATATAAACTGGGGCGAGTCACCTGTAAGGGCAGATAGCTGCTCAGGTTGGGCTGAGTATCAGTCAGCAGGTGGTGAGCAATAGTATCTTGCATCATTTGTGTTTATTGGTTTCTTTTCCCTTTCCCTTTTATTATTAATATTCTTCCCCCTTGCTATTTCCACCATTATTATTATTATTACTTTAGTTACTGGACTGTTCTTACCTCAACCCATGGGATTTACATTCTTTTGATTGTCCTCCCCATCCCACTGGAGGGGGGGGGAAATGGGGGAGAGTGAGCGAGCGGCTGCTTGGTTCTGATTTGCCAGCTGGGCTTAAACCATGACAGTGGGCAGCTGAACTGTGCCCCAGATACCAAACTGAGGGGGAATGAATTGCTCTTTTACTCTTTTATGTATAGATACGTACATATAGGTAGCCAAGTTGCCCTTATATCCAAATATTGGCTAGTTTTCTTACCAGTTGTGACAAGCCTTGCCAGTGCTAACTTTATTTAACTTCTGTGGATTGTCATTAGTCACAGCGATTATACGTGCCTCTGAATTTTACAGACAGACATAATTTCACTTAATTTTCTTACTGCCTCTGGTCTCTACTCACACTGCGTGTGACCTGTGCTAATTCACTGTCATGGCTGCTTCTCCGGGATTTTTCTTTGACGCATATACCTTAACTTAGTCAGTCTGACCCAGTCACCATTTCTTTAGTGAAGGTTTAAGATGGGACCAATTAATCTGGTAAGGATATGAGAAGGCAATCCATGGGAATTTTTGAACTGAATAGAGAAATATGAGGGATTACAGACTGTTAGACAAAGACAAATCAAAAGGTTGAGCAAATGTCAGCTCAGTTCCTCTCTTTCCCCTTTATCCCTAAGAATGGCAGGAAGCTTTTGCAGCTTTCCAGACATATGTCCTCTGGGCTTCTCCAGATGCATTGTTTGTTTAACATTCTCTAGGGATCAGAGTGCATGGGACAATGCTTTAATAGAGGCCTCTGCTCTTCGCCCACCAAGCAATTAATGAAACTCATTTCTACCCTGGGCACTTCTTGCTCACAAACAAGCTCTCTTGCTGAATCATCATCATCATAATGCCCTTGGTTTTTTTTTTTTTTGCTGCATCTCTGGTATCTGGCATCTTCTCAACATTAATTACTGTACTAAACCCAATGCTACTAATGTCTGAGGCTTTCCCTGCACCTAGCTTCTCATTTCTGTTGATACCCACCCTTGATAAAAATGATACTTACTCTTCTTCTGGCAGTCACCTCTGCCCAGCTAAACTTCCTCTGTAGTTTGTCTGCTTCCCGTACATATCTGGAGAGAGTTAATAGGAGTTCCAGTGTAAAATACTCTCCAGCATACAACACAGAAAACCTGTTATTTAATGACACAAAGAAAATCTTCTGAATATCTTCAGAAAACAGCAGCAGCAACAAAATTGCGCAGGAGAGAAATCATCTCACCAGGAATTTTAACTGCCTAGTTTGAAAATAGCAGAGTAAATAAAACACGATATAGGAGTGGGGTCCACAGCACTGGGATTATGAAGGAGAGAAAATGCTGTAGTGATGCTGAATCTCCATACAGTGGAGATGGTTTTATGCTTTCTGCAAACATGCAGGATATGTTAATATGAGAGCTTGTCCTGTGATCTTGATGAGAATGATTTCAGATGTTGAAGGGAAGAAAATAACCCTTCTTAAATTAGAAAAAGCAGAGGTGAGTCATACAAGCAGGGAGCTGTGCAGTATCGTCAGATACTTAGTAGTGGACTAGCTCAAGCCTGGAATAGCAGCTGAAGCACCAATGTAGTAGGTGTCAGGACAACAGCTGCTTACTGCTGCAGGAACAGTTGTGTTGGCTGCTGTTCCTGCAAAACAGTTCCTCTCTATTCCCTGCACAGGAATGGCAGATACACAGACATATCTGTTGTTCAAGACTGCCTTATTAAATTAGGGGTCTTTTGCTTGTAGTAGGAAGGTAACCTTTTAAGATCTGTCTGTAGCTAGGCTAAGAAGCACAGCTAGAGACTAAGGGCCAATCTCAGTAGATATCAGAACCACATCTGTTTATTGCTGCAGTGAGCAACTGTCTCACACCATAATGCATACACGTTAGGGGAGAGTTAAGTGTTTACTTGCTTAACACAAATAGAATTAAGGAAGGTTTAAGAAGCTCCATTAGAAGAAGGACCTCCTAAATCATCATCTGTATTTGAATCAAAGTTGGCTTTGAGTCTTTATCTGGCAGTTGTGAACTACTTATTATTTATAACCATTGTACAAGACATTCTGTTTGCCTCCTCCTCTTCTCTAGGGGCTCAAGAATTCAGCATTTCATCTAGGGTATTTTAATTTTAAACAGAAGAGAAGAAAGTTGTTTGCAGTTGCTTTAGGAGTTTGTGGTGGGAACTTCTGATAGAACAGTCAGTAAAGCATCCCATCCTGAACATTTCAAATCTCAGCATCCTTGCTCCATTAGATAACATCCTCTGATAAGAAAGTCTTTTGTTACTATTAGCGCTATAAAGTCAACAGTGAAGAGCTGACAGTGAGTTTGGATTTGAATCTTGACCAGATTCAGGAGTGTCAAGGAAAGCTTTTGGAAAGCAGACTTTGCCATGACAGAGACATACGTCAGGGACAAAGTGTGAATAGTCATCAGAAAGACTGAAGAAGAGTGTATTTGCCTGACTTTTGTTAGTATGTCTAGATTTGCAGAATGATTTAAGGTTTGTGACGGTCCTAAGGAGAAAACAGCTTAATTTTCCTATAAGGTACAAGATATAAAGCAGTCCATTTTAATTTGCAAGTTTAATAAGTTTAGGTCAGCGTGACTGAGACAGAGTTACGATGGAATGCATGCTCCCATAGCCTGACTACCATCTATGTTGCAGTGGGAATTCTGAGTTAAGGGGGACTAATAGTACTAACCAGACATTGTTAATCTTCACATTGGGTAAAAATGAGGAGTGCGGAGTGAGGGAAAGGCTTTAAATAGTTTTGACTTTGTAGATTACTGTCATTTTAAAAATACTCCCTCTTTGAAGATAAGGAACCGAATTCAGTTTTGTCCCCAGATAACAATCTCAATCAAGTTATTAAGCAAAGAGGGTTTTGACAGATAAGCACCCAGAAATGCTGATAATGTCCAACATCACTGCTTTAAACTGAATACCCTTCTTCCCCAGTTCTATGAAGGACTGACAGGACAAGGGCCTGGCAGGGGTTAATAGCTGTGGGTCTCCTGTGAGCAGCCATAACCACATCCACTGGAGAGGGCAAAGTGTGCTGTTGTCCTGGAGGCCTTTTGGACTGCATGGTGCTGTATATTTTGGAAATGCCTCTGAAATATGGTCATTTAGTCTCTCTTTTATGTTGTAGTGAGCTCAGCTAAAGTGCAGCTGCTTTTGAATGTCTCCTTTCCTTCCCTCCTCCCATCCCCAGCCCAGGCTGCTTTGCCTCCTGAGAAAATGGAGAGGGGCTTTGGTGAAGTGAAAGGGGCCAGAAAGAGAGAAGGAAAAAAGTTAATAATTCTACACAGACAGTCTACCAGAGATGTTAAGGAAAGAGTGTGATCTCAGCTGGGCTTCCCCTCAGTGGGTCATGCTTTTCAGCTCCTTTCATGCGAACTTCTCCCCCCTGTCCCTATCCTGCCATTCTTTAGCCCCCCAGACTCACTCTCTCTTTCTCTCTCTCTATTTTTCCTCCCTCCACCTCTCCACACATTTCTATCTTTTGTTTTTATTTCCCCCCCTGCTGTTTTCCTTGATAGAAATCTCACTCATGCATTTCCCTTCCGGATTTCTATTGGGTTATTTTGTCCTCTCTCTCTCTGCGCCTTGGTCCCCTTTTCTTTCTCTGCCTCTTGTCCCAGAGTAAAACAGTCGCCTCCCCGCTGGGTCAGGATGACAGTGCCGTTAGCTTTCCCAGTGCCAGCCCTTTCCACATCTGTGCAGCTTTTGTCCTGGGGCAGAGGGGGATTTGGAATGGTCGGTTGGCAGCGCCAGGGAGACTGATGTAAAAATGAGGTCCAAAAAAGAGGGGAAAGGGAATTAGAAGGAGGGCGTGAGATGGTTTAAGAGAAGCACAAGTGAAAATAAAATAAAGAAGTAAAGGGCACAGCTCAGGCTGTGAGTGAGCTGGGGCATTCCAGCTCCACAGCTAGGCCAGAAAGAATGAAACAAATGAATCCTGGTACCATGTTGTGCTGTTGATTGATTAACCCCAATATGTGTCCCTTATGTATGACTGGGGTAGAGTTGGGGCACTTCCATGAAATGTCTTATTTGGGACAGTAGCTGGGAGAGCATTCTTCGCAGACAGGTGGGATGTACCTGGCACCTCCTCAGGTCAATACCCACAGGCTGCCTGCTCAGTCCTCAGTACTCAGCTCCTCTGTCCTAGCCTTGCTATCTCTTCCCGCTCTAGACCAGTTTTCCTTTATCCTTGTCTTTCTATCTCTCCAGAACTGCTCTGCCCCATCTTCTCCTCCCTTTCAGGTTATATTCTTCTAACTTCTTTCCATTCTTCCTCCAAATGTTTGAACACCTTTTTTCCAATTACCAGGGCAATTACCTCTGTGCCCAATGCAGCCAGTACACCCTGCTCCACCTTTGCATCACAACCTTCCATGTCCCATCCATGAATGGAAATAATAGCTTACTTGGCAGTATCTTTTCTAAAACACTGCTGGTCATTCTTGGTTACCTATTAGTGGAATGTGGCATTGCAGCAAGCCAGGGGGAGCTGCCTCTATTTTACATCTCACATGGATTTCTCCTGTGAGATGTAAGGCAGTCTTTTTTTGTGTGTTTTTTTTTGGTTTGTTTTTGCATTTTTTCCTTTTTAGTTGCACAGGCATTATCTTTCTTTCATATCAACAACGGGCCCTGCATAGCCCCCTGTATTCTTCTTGATGCTTAAAGGAGCATGAATGATTCTTCTTTTTGGTAGGGAGGAGTGAACACAACTGTGGAGGTGAGGATGTGTGGCAGTAGAACCAGGGTGCTGTACATTTACAATTGAGAATGGCTAAATAGTTTGGAGGACTACCATGATAGTTATGCAATGTCCTGTGCAGAGGGCACTAAGTATGCTTCTTTTTTGACCACCTCTTTCTCATAATGACAGAAGATGAAGTGAAGGAGCTCCTTGCAGGAGCCAAGGTGGCCAGCTTCCCCCAGTGATACTGAGTAAGTGTGTTGTAAAAGCAGTGAGGGAGAGACAGGCTGCTCTGATCCATTTTGACACGGACTCGAAGTGAAAGGAGTGTAGGGAGCCTGTGTGTAGGCCTTTGTAAGCAAGTAGTGTGAAATTCCTCAGTTTCAGGTGAGATTTGCTGTAAGCTCTTGAGGACTCTTGAATTTCAAAGTCAAAGCATGTTGAAGAGAAATATTCATGTGTAGGAAAAAAATTCATGTAAAGTTTCCCTGTTCCCCTTGCTAACTGCTCCATACCAACTGGCACTATGCTCCAGAGGAGTGGAGAGAAGAATAGTACAACAGACTGCAAAGGGAAAAGTTTTTCTTGGTTCAAATGCTATCCAGATCGTAGCATTTCCATATCACTGTAATTCAGAGATGGAATTTGCTGCTATAAACATCTGTCTGTAGTGAGTATCAAGGACAAAAGAACATTACCATAAATGCATCATTTGGTCCCACTTAACAAAAATCTTTTCTGTTTTTCTTAATCTTACTTTCCTGATCATTGCTAACCAGCAGAGTACAGGATTTGCATATCAATATAAAGACTGCTGGGAATATTCCACCCTGATCTACATTCTGTATAACGCTATTAAATGGAGTAGCACAGGGATGTCATTCAGGACAGAATTTGGCTAATTTCAACTTCCTAATGACATTTTCCCTCTAGTACTAACAATAGATTTTAACTTGCAATATATCAGGGTTTCCACTATATCAGCATTTCCAATGCCCTGTACTTATGTGAACCACTTAATTGAGCAAGGTGAAGTGTAAGAAAATAAACTTCATGAATATTCATTTCCAGTATAATTTAGAGGCAGCTAGTGCCTGATGCTGACACTCCAGCAGTGACTGTGTGTTCAGAATTTTGTTGGTGCAAGGGCTCGTCCAAGCAACTATTACCTTGAAGTTTGACATATTTGTGCAAATTGTGCTTTAGTCGTTTTCTTGTTCCTATTTTCACCAGGAGCCTTCTTATCGTAGTTGTACTCTTCTAATCATGCAGACAAGTGCTATATGTTGTACCTGACTGTCTTTTGCAGGTCCATCTGAATTACTGGACATGATAGACAGTGAAACGTAAGTACAACCTACCCTACTCTTCACATTATGGGCATTAGCCTAGCAGACTTCTCTTGTTTTCCACATGCAAACTTTAAAATAAAAAAGCTTGTAAAATGGCACAGCTTTTCAAAAACAAGCAAGAAAATAAGAGTCTCCCTTAACCCAAGCAACTACCTCATATGTGGCTTTCTGGCCTAAACCAAATGTTTCTTGAATTCTGTAAAGAAATTCCTCTCTATTGCTTCCCACACCTTATTAATCTTTCTAGAGGAATACAAGTACTGCATTTTGCTTTGATGTTTCTGGCATCCAGTTACTGAAGAACCAGCTTGAAGAGTAAATTTTAGAAGTCAGGGAATTACTTTTCTTGCTCTACACCTTTTCTTCCATCCCTTCATGATTCATCCAGGGTGCTCTGCCTTAGCTGTCCCTAGTGGCCACAAGCTGTGCAGTTGTAATTTCTCTCAAGTATTTATAACCTGAATCACCTCTGTTATTATTTAAAAAAAGCCAAACAAACAACCCAAAGCCAACATATTTGCCATTCCAAACTGCTCTGTCTTGTTGTATAATCAAGGTGTCACAAAGAGTATGTAAGGGAAGCATGAACCATCCTGGGAAGTGTATGAAATATATGGGAAGCAAAAGTTGCCTTTGTCATAGTGGTTAAACCTACCATTCCTCATTCCACAGTGCCCTCCTCTGCTAGGGGAAAGCATCAGAAAGGTTTTGCACAAGATGCATGTGTGCAATCCAGGAGTGATGAAGCCTGGATGAACAAACTGTTTCTCTTCAACCAGTAGCATAGCACAGCCTCTGAAATAAAGAGCAAATGAACACGGCTATAAGGGCTTCCCTTTACAAAAGTCCTTTTACTGCTAAGGCTTGAAAAGGGAAGGTTCAAGCTGTAACTGGCAGCATGAATCAGTCTTTTGATCCTCAGGGGGAAATCAGACAGTATCCCATTCTGAATCTAGTTCTCATGCAGCAGAGGCAGATTCATTACAAGGTTGCCTGTTAATATTTCAGCTTGCCCTGTTGTTGACCTAAGCTGAAACTCCATTATGCCCTCCCACTTTCTGGGTGGGTAGGTAGGTAGGTGTAATATTTGACCTACCACACAAATTTCTTCTCATTTTTTATTTTGGGGGTTATGTAGCGGCCCTACTTGTTAGATACTAGTATTAAGGACACCTTTTCAACCCAGTCAAAGCATACCTCGCTTCTCTTCCTAGGAGAATCTAGATACATTTCTTTAAGCTTTGTACTACAGTCAGTCTCAGAATCCCATTACTCATATCCCAATCTGAATGAGGAGCTTTGCTATAAATCTGTTCCCACAGATTTCTCTTTTGAAAAGCCTGTGTTCAAGCTTCCTCAGTAGCTCAGCAGTCCAGAGATAGAAAACAAAAACACAGCTCTTGCTCTTTGACATCCAAGAGCAGAGTATCAGAACCAGACCAGCAAGTACACCGGTCATGCCTTTCACGGGCAGGAATTTTTTAGGATGCATCTAAGAATAAGGCTGAGAAAATTGAAGGAATCGAAGAAATTGCAGGAAGAAACAAACACTGGTGCTGTTTTGCCTGCTGTGAAATAAGAAGGTGGCTACTTTGCCTTTGCAGCAGATAGCAAAGCTGCTGGTTGCATGGGACATTCAGCCCTTTGAATACGTAAAACCAGTGCATGTTTCTTTCCCACCCCTCAGAAGTTCTTTGCTATTTGTGCATTGCAGGCTTTCCTACTGAGTCAAAGGATGTAAATGCCAAGGCAGAGAGTGCACAAGTCTACCTCTGCCAGAAAGAGGGAACCTTGCAGAAATACAGCATGCTTCTCTGCCTGTCCTCTGCACCTTATACTTCGTAAATATAAAACGGTGTGATGTGTCTCACTGCTGGTTTCTGTACTTTGGTTTAGGGGTGAGACAGCATTACATAAGGCAGCCTGCCAGCGCCATCGTGCCATTTGCCAGCTTCTGGTGGATGCAGGAGCCTCGCTGAGAAAGACAGACTCAAAGGTAACCCAGCCCCATCAACCAGTTATAAAATATTGCAGCCAAGCAGGACTGATCAGCATCCATCCCTACTGTTTGCATGACTGAGGCTTCCTGATGTGCGCCAAAAGCAGCTGGTTTTTTTTTTTTAGAAAACTCTATTAATTTAAAGCAAGTACAAGAGACTTCAGAACCCAGCTCATGGGTCATCTTCACCATAGTTAGAGCCTGGTCTCAAACTCTATGGTGCATTGGGTGTGAATGAGGCATCTCCGTGGCACAGCATCCTTCTCCTCCTGTGTGGTCACAAGAGAGGCCTCTGGGCAAAGACCACCTGGGGGAGTCTTGGTTTGTGATTGCATAGTGTCTGTGAGGCTTCATTATTGTGGCTGACTTGCTTTGTGAGGATGGTTAACCATTTTCTTTTGCCCTTGCTTGCCCCTATGCTCACTGATGTGACACGACTGTCTCTTGGTGTATGCTTGGCTGAGATAGAAGTCTGGGCAAAATTAAATCCTAGGAATATTTACTTAGGAACATGGTCCAGAAGCTGCCCTTCTGGCATTTCTGAACAGAAGCATTCTGTGGCCACAACTGAGAGGTGGTTGTATCAGAAGCACCTTTGCTGTAACAAGACAAGTAAACCCAGTTCCTACCATGTTATGCTGTATGGGATCACCTTTAAGGGGGACAGAGATCACCTCTTCTTCAGATGAGAGCACTGTACATGACAAAAAATAATTTCTGTAACAGCTGAAATCCAGACAAGTGGCTTCTGATTCGTTAATCTTCATCTGCCCAGAAATCCAAGGAGCAGGAGTGTGTTTGTTACCTTTGTTACATTAAGGTGTTTCCAATATTTTTTCATAGTTCGGGATCAAGACTCGTGGATCAATTTAACAGCACTTGTAAGGTAGCTCAGATAACAGGGTAGTAAACTGATGCACTGAAAATTGATCTGTACTTGAGGTAGAATGAGACATGTTGAGCTCATCTCAAATGCTGGGCATCTCTCTCCACACATCCTTAGCAAAGTGTGGAGTCTCTGAAGTACACTTTTCAAGTGTTAGCTACAGTACTGTGAGTCATATTCATTAACATAGGGATCATAGCCATAGAATGAAAAATCAGTTGCAGCATGTGAGCCCTTCTGTGTGATGTATCAAATGGCATGTGCTTGCAGAACTGCATGGTTCCTTCTAAACCACAGAAGGACTTTGAAAATCTTCAGGATCTTGTGACTTTAATAGAAAACCTTGACTTAACACCAATCTGTACAACAAATAAGTAAAATATCTAAGTTTGTTTCTTTCCTTCCTGTAGTAATTTCTCTGGGTCATGCTTTCACCTATTCTAAATATGTTAGCACAAGACTTTCTCTTCGTGTTTCTTTATTATAGGGTAAGACCCCTCGTGATAGGGCTCAGCAAGCTGGTGACCCAGATCTGGCTTCCTATCTGGAGAGTCGACAAAACTACCAAATGGTTTCCCACGAGGATCTGGAGACAGCAGTCTGATGTCTGAAAATGTCAAAGAGGATCCTTGGAAATCGCAAGGTGCACCTGAGGCACTCGGGCGTCGTGTGAGGAAGAAGCTGATGGAATCAACGTGTCTCTCACTCTTGTGGAAAATACCTGAGGACATGCCACCAGTTTCTAAGGGCTACTGAGTCTTGCCACGGAACGGTTAGGTTCCATAAGTTAGCCCAAGATGAATAAGGCGGGATACTCAAAGGTCTGTGGAATCCATGGGCCATGGAAACTTACCTTTATTGCTTCCAGCAAGTAGCATGAACTTCTCTCATGTTCATCTGTACAATTTATTTAAAAAAGAAAAAAAAAAAAAAAGGAAAGAGAAAAAAGGTTGTGGGGGAACCAAACTAACTGGGACATTATGACACCCAACCAAGTTTCCTGCATTCCTTTCTTTCTCCCATTCCCCTCACTTCTCATCAGTTAAATAGTACCTGTTATCTCTGTGTTAAGTCTTCACAAATGGTCAGGCAGTAGCAAAAAAATTCGAGGAGCCCTGGATGCCCTTAGGAAAAACCCAGTGTTTTTACTGGCTGCATTCCCTCCCTTGCTGTCCTCTTGGAAATTGTGTCCTATCACCAGGGAGTGCTCTATTGTGCTCTATCACCAGGGAGTTTTCTCACTTTTAGAGAGGACTCTGCCATTGCCTTGTTTCCAGGGTGTGGGGAACAGCTAGATTTAAAGCAGTAACAAAACTTAATCTCCCTATTGTTGCTGTGTACACAATTATGGTATCCTCATGAGACAGTCATTTGTATGGAAATTAATTATATGGGCTATACCATGTTGTATGACAAAGCAGAAAGTTACCAGTAGGTTTTCTCATTCCACTATTTTACATATAATGACTGACCTGGTTCAGCTTCGGTTTCAAGCCTGCCTAAAAGTTGATAGATATTTTTTAATTTTGAAAATATGAGTTTTACACTGGGATAGATCCGTCTGCAAGATGGAGGGAATTCTGACAGACTGACTCATGGACCCAGTCCCTTTTGCGTTATGGCTGGAAGTGGGAAGGAGACCTAGAACATCAGCGGTCAGCCTAGGCTTGCTGCTGTCAACAAACAAATGAGGAATGTCCAGTCACATTTGGAATAGGAAAATCTTCAAATCTTCGTTGAACCTGTAAACTGTCTGATTCCCCAAGGGAGCAAAGTTTCAGAGAGGCTATCCCACTGGAGAAGGACAAGCAGCAGCTTTTTGCCTTGTTATTCACTATAGGCTCAGAAACATAAAGTTGCTTAGCCACTGCAAAGGCTAACTGTGTCTTCTGTACTCATCTGTTCTCTGTCTTACCTCAAAGATTATAACCACGAAAGAAGAGAAAGCAAATATACATACACACAGGCATACGCAAAATGTTCTCCTTCAGGTTTTCAATCACTACAGAAAACTCAACTGCCAGAAGTAACAGAGCTTCCACTTACACTTTGACCAGTTCTCATGAAGACACTCATGGCACACTTTTGGCGTAATTCTTGCAATAGTTCTTCGAATTTTACTTTGTTGTTTGTTTTGAAAGATACACTGGTGTTTGTTTTCATGCGCCTTGCTAGGTGTAGGTCTCTGGTAGGTGGTGATCATCAGGATTACATGCAGTTTGGAAACCATGAAAATAACTCAGGTCATTATTCAGATAAGTTTTTCTTCCTTGGTAGAAGTGAAAATGAAATTAATGTGATCCTTTTTTTTTTTTTTTCCTCAAACAAGAGTGATTGTTGTGGCAAAGAAGAAGGAGCTAAAAATAAGGGGGTTAAATTTATTTCTGTTTTCAAAAGTTAATTTGATATGAGAAAAATATTTCTTTAGTATTTCTTTATCTGGAAGGAAACTATATATATTTGTAATCAATAGATCAATGGCGACATGAAATGTATTTTGTCTTATTTTCTGTCTTTACATTTCTTGTTTGAAAAATAAAATATGAAAGCCAAATTCCTTCCCTTGATAATTATCCAGGGGCTTGTGGCAAAGGTCAGTATGTATATATTAGAACAGAATTTGGCAACTGTTAAAATAAAAAAAAACGAGAGTATAATTTTGGTGTTACGTGAAATTTCCACAAGGAAGATCCTCACACTGTTGTTTCATGCTAGGACTTGCATCATTCCCCAGCTGTGAGGAAAGGTATTACTGTGATATTTCTACATATTTGATGAAAATAAGAATTATATTAGTATCACTTTTATCTTTTTGCTTTGTTTTACTGTGAGAAATGGAAGAAGCTTCAATGACACCAGGGACTTGGTTCTGTTCTGTGCTAAGGCCAGACTGGTGTGTGATGGTCAGTGTGGCTGCTTCAGCTCCCTGGTCCTTTAGTCCCATGAAGCAGGTAGAGTAGTAAAGGCTTGCTCTAACCACAGGCTCTTCCAGAGCCCACATGTGAATTATAATAAGGATCTGGTCCTCCCTTTACTGAGACATCCCTCGTGCCTGTGGAGTGGCTGCAGCAGGACTGGCTCTGGAGCAGCTCTTCAGGATGGGCAGATTTCCTGAGCTCCTTTGTGCCATTTGGCCTGCTCACAGGAGTTTAGAGCACCCAGGAGAGTCTGGCTTGCCTTCTTCGCTGATAGCTGGAATATGATTCTGTGATCAGAGCGAGCATGTTGTGCCTCTGGAAAGCTGCCTGTGCTGTGTGCTCAGCAGGAGACAGTTACTGCATGATGAAAATAAACTCCAGCACTGGAGATAGGACAGGAGCTGCTGTATGTAGTGCCTTTAATATTCAAGGTGTCCCAAAGCAGTGCACATGTAATGCGTTAGATAGCGGAGATGTATTTTATTTGTAGATAACAGAGCATGTATATCGTTTTCTGCAATGGCTCAGACACAGCCAGGGATATCAAAAGTTGGTTCACTGAGGGAAGGAGATTGGGGCCAGGATGCTGCAGTATTATTCCTTACCCACTCTCTTTCAAGTGCAATATGATTTTCAACTTTGGACAGCCATCACAAGCAGGCAGACTCTGCAGCAGTTAGAGGTGACAATGTACATGTTGAATCTCTTGAGCACTTGGGATCTCAACTTAGTACAGTATCATTTTGACTGCACTGGGCAGGACCCAAATTTCAGTATGCAGATGGGAACCCACTTAAATTACATATAAAACATTTTGATTTATTAAAAGTGCCTATTCAGTGGCTCTGTTTATTTATGTGTGTATATTACTATATGTATGCGTGTCTATAGATATAAGTAGGCATATATATATATATAGACACACATATGTGCACACACTCAGAATTGTTCCACTTGAATGACAAAGTACCTAGAGATGCTCAGCTACTGAGGTTGCTGGACTGCCAAAATGTCATTTTCCATTTTAATTTGTTATTTAAAGGGGACCATTTTCAGTAGACTTGAGGACCTCCTGAATTGTTCCATTGTACTGGTTTTACTATCTCATTTTGGAGTTAAATGGAGGGAAAGAAAATATTTATAATGTTGATAAAATAAACTTACTTTTGTTATTTAATAACATCAGTTACTCTTATTATTTCATGTTTCAATGCTAGAGGTATCTTTCTGTGTTATCCAAAACATGGTAATGTCATACATTTCTCACTAATTATGACATCTCTCAATACAGTGAGGTATGAGGCTGAGTGACTCATGTAAGACGGGAGTTCAAGGCAAATTTTGCCTGTTACAAAAGAAGCCTCAGACTCCATTGGCTCTTTCATCCTTTCATGTGACGGCTTGTCTGTGTTTTAGAACTTTAGAGATGCCTATAGATGTTTTTACTGACACCTGTCACCCTTGATTTTCCCCAGCAACAGTAGAATTGCTCGGTCTCAACTCATGGTGCTGTTGCCTTGATTCAGACTACATGAGATGTCCCCTGCTACATGAGAACTGTCATATAGAAGCACCATAGACAAAGAAAATAGAACAAAATTGATGTTTTGTTGCCATTGATCTTCCCAGCTGTATTTGCAGAGCTGGTGCTGGTGTGGATGAATAGATGGGGCACATGCTTTTCTTCTGACGATGTGGCCATAGGATGTTTGTTTGAGTGATATTAGCCTCTTTTATTCATTTTTGTCTTTGTCTTTGCTGTGACAGTGACATGCACAGTAGTGAAAGTCGCTAACATAACCTCACCTAGAATGTGGTTATTTTTCTTTCAGCCTCCTCTAGGGTATATGTTGACCATTCAGTATATCAAAAGCATGTTGACATGATCTGACTCTGGGCAAAAGCTATGAAATGGGCAATGAATTGGTAGCTTTAAGCTTGCTGGGAGTTTAATGGAACTCAAGAAATTCATAGATATGCTGGGAATTTGTACACCTTGAAAACACTCTAATGACAATTCTGTTGTTGCACTTCATGTACTCCAAGAAGGAAACAGTTCCTCGTGCTGATCCATTTGAGGTCTGTCATTTTCTTTCCGCTACTTTTTGTTTTGCACCTGACTAATGTCCATATAGAAGTATTTTATAAGAACGGTGTTTAAACTTGTTGAAAGTAACATTTCTATCTTCGTTATACCTATTATTTTCTATTCATCAGACATTATTTCATCTCTTTCTTTTCCTCATTAAATCAGCACCAAAATGATATTGGGTTATTAGCTTCTTAATTAATCTAAAGCATCAAATGTGAGTATCTTCAGTCATTTCAGCAGTCCTGGAGATAGCTGTGCCTTTCTGAATACCTGTGGAGCTATAGGGCACAGTGTTACAGGGTTCACTGTGGTACTCCTGGTGTCATTTTGCTTTTTTGAGAACAATATAGGCAACTGTTTTTCTCAGTAGTGGGCATCTACAGCTTTAAGTCCCATTAGGTCCCTGCCAGAATCTGCTGATTGCAATAGCAACTCAGTAATGTGCTAAAAGTAACTTGCTGGCATATTGATAAAGATCAGAATTTTATGTGGAGGATGTGTCTTCAGCTTCAGTGCTTCAATTCCCTTTGGAAGGGCAGCTCATGGCTGCACTGTGGAAATGACTCAAGAGGAGCTATAACCCAGCCTTGCACCCTGTTGCTGTGAATAGAATATATGGAGGAGTCAGGATGTCTCAGCCTTTGCTGAGGAGTTAGCAGTACAGACAGGCTGCAACAGCTTGGCACTTGGCTTGGGCTGCCCAAAAGTAGGTCAAGTACTTGGGCAGTTTCTCACTTCTAATACTATGTAAAAACTGGCTTGGGAGGGATGGATTACCCAGCAGCCAAAGCAGTGGCCATGGCTATGTGTACTCCAAGTTGTGCCATGGCACCAAGCTTCTCTGGATTGCCTACCTGATATCCTCTGTGGGGACCAGAGGTCAGGGGCCTCCTTTACACTCCCCAGTGTGTTTCCAGCTCCGCTGCCCTTGGTGGTGCCCACAGAGAGCGGCATTCTCTCATCCACTATGCATGTGCACTGGAGCAACACCTCCTGCCTTGGCCAAGGGATTTCCTGGCCCGCGTATGGTGCCACTCCTGCAAAGGGAAAAATTCCCTCCCTCAGGCCTTGATCACACCAGTAAATTCATTACATTTGACTTCAGTGATTAGGCAGGCTTAGAGCTGAATAACTTCACTGTATTCAGCCATCAGAGTGCATCTTGTCTCCTGCCTTA